CTTTGAAATTGTTGCATGTTGCATTTATATTTTTGTTCAGCATACTTTACATATGACAAGTCTAATATAATTTCAGACGGTACAACAATTAATCACCTCCAAATATCAATAAGCATGATATTTGTTTATTTTGTACACTATGAGCAAGTTATTTCGTAATACATGTTTAGCCATAGTTCTCATTCAGTTGAAGTATTAATGCCATCCACTATGTGTTTGATACTATGTGGATTCCGCAGGAGGTTGGTAGCACCTTAATTGGGGAGGACGGGCCCGTGGTAATGGCTGGAGCGGAATCAGTGGAATGGTATCAAACACATCAAACACATGGTTTCCAGGTGTTAGATGCCATTCTGTTCGCTCCGTTCTGTTTCCTCCATTATTAAGAGTCATCCTCCTCTCAGCAGCCTCCTGTTGTGGATACAGCACTGTTGGTCAGGGCGCAAATGATCTCTCTCTCTCTCTCTCTCTCTCTCTCTCTCTCTCTCTCTCTCTCTCTCCTCTCTCTCTCTCTCTCTCTCTCTCTCTCTCTCTCTCTCTCTCTCTCTCTCTCTCTCTCTCTCTCTCTCTCTCTCTCTCTCTCTCTCTCTCTCTCTCTCTCTCTCTCTCTCTCTCTCTCTCTCTCTCTCTCTCTCTCTCTCTCTCGCCATCTAATCATACCATAGTTAACAGGTTCAAGCCCATGTCCCAGTGCACTTTAGTATACTCAGGCAGAGGCCCTAGTTATTGCCATAAACCGTTGAATTATATTTTTCCTACCATTTTCCAAATTCATTTGCAATGTGGTTCAGTGGGAGAAGTCAGCCCCTTTCTGCTCTAACCCTGTCTCTCTCTGTGTGTGTGTGTGCGTGTATGTGTGTGACGTACACAAGGCTCCAGAGCTGTCTGCCTCAGCAAATGTATGTGTGTGTGTTTATTATCCCCCCCCGACAAATGCACACTGGACTACTCTCTCCACATTGTCCCAATGTTGTGAGGGTTGGTTTGTGGTAACGTTATCTGGTGGCTGTCATGGTAGTGTGTGAGTGTATATGTGCTGTTGGCTGGGGCAGATGGGCTACTCCGCTAGCCTCACACTGAGTTATGGATTGCTGATTTATCATGCTGTTTATCTCCCCCTACGTATTAGCCCTGTGTGTGTGTGTGTGTGTGTGTGTGTATTGGTCTCATTTCAGTGGGTTTAGAATATGTCTACTTTTCTGTGAATGTGTGTGCACTTACAGTCTGTGCCACTGTCCACAAATCACATATGTCCTCTTATATGTGTCAGGCTATGGGTGTGTGTTCGTGCGCGTGTGAGTGCATGTGTGTGAGATAGAGTGACTGTTTTCAGATGATAAGTCATCATCTCTTGGGGTGAAGCAACATTATCCAGGCAATAAAGTTTTTATCTCAAACTGGTGATTTCATTTTTCACTCATACAAACCCCATCTGTGTGTGTAATACCACATAACGTTAGGCCCACAAACACACACCTACACACACACACACAAAGATTTATGCAAATCTGCTGTGGAATGCCGTTAAACCCACCGTGAGATCACACAGTGTTTTGCAGTATGTGTGTGTGCGTGCGTGTGTATGTCGATATTTACCAGCGGGACAAACACACAGACACCCCAGAGGTTTCCCCATACACAGACAGACAGACAAAGACAGATGCCTCTATTATGTGGATGGATGGTTGTGATTACTAAGAGTTATTAAGTCATTCATTCCGTGCTTAGAACCAGTGAGACTTACAATGCATGTGGAGATCATTACTAGACATAAAGTGTCTAATGCAACAGGCTATGCACAACATTGAGTCCCAAATACAGATGCCCTGAGTTGCTTTTGATGACATAATTGAATGGAGACACTGAGGCTGCACTGATCCTACATCAGTTGTTATCTTAACTACAGTATTAACTACAGTATTTTCCCAAGGCCCTGATGGTAGTCTAGGTATGGTTTTTGATTTATCGTACCCATTGTTCTTATGACGTAAGAAAGGAAAATACTACATGTACTATGCACTCCCTGTACTCAGTGTTATTCACATAAACACATACACACACAGCCCGAGTGAGGTGTGTGTACCATGTTGCATTCATCTGATGTGATGCCAGTGTCTTGCCCAGGTTCCTCCCTTCTGTGCTGGAGATGTCTTGTCGTTATGGAAACCAGGTGATTGACCGTCACACAATGACAGCCCGATTCTAAACTGAACAAAAATATAAACGCAACATGCAACGATTTCTAAGATTTTACTGAGTTACAGTTCATAGAAGGAACTCAGTCAATTGAAATAAAGTTATTAGGTCCTAATCTATGGATTTCACATGACTGGGCAGGGGCGCAGCCATGAGTGGGCCTTGGAGAGCATATGCCCACCCACTTGGGAGCCAGGTCCACACACTGGGGAGCCAGGCCCAGCCAATCAGAATACGTTTTTTTCCCACAAAAGGGCTTTATTACAGACAGAAATACTCCTCTGCACCCCCGATCCCCCTCCTCAGACGATCCCGCAGGAGAAAAAGCCGGATGTGGAGGTCCTGTGTTGGCGTGGTTACACGTGGTCTGCTGTTGTGAGGCCGGTTGGATGTACTGCCAAATTCTCTAAAACTACGTTGGAGGCAGCTTATGGTAGAGAAAATGAACATTCAATTTCCTGGCAACAGCTCTGTTGGACATTCCTGCAGTCAGCATGCCAATTGCACGCTCCCTCAAAACTTGAGACATCTGTGGCATTGTGTTGTGCGACAAAGCTTCATCCACCTGTCAGGATTATCTTGGCAAAGGAGAACTGCTCACTAACAGGGATGTGACCATATCTCCCGCGCGTCCCGCAAAGACGGAGGTGTTGCTAACATTTACGATAGCAAATGTCAATTTGCCCCCCATAAATGACTGCGTTTTCGTCAATCACTTTTTATAGCTACTGTTTACAGGCCTCCTGGGCCGTATACAGAGTTCCTCACTGAGTTCCCTGAATTCCTATCGGACCTTGTAGTCATGGCAGATAATATTCAAATTTTTGGTGACTTTAATATTCACATGGTCCACAGACCCACTCCAAAAGGCTTTCGGAGCCATCGTCGACTCAGTGGGTTCTGTCCAACATGTCTCCGGACCTACTCATTGCCACAGTCATACCCTGGATCTAGTTTTGTCCCGTGGAATAAATATTGTGGATCTATATGTTTTTCCTCATAACCCTGGACTATCGGACCACCATCTTATTACGTTTGCGATCGCAACAAATAATCTGCTCAGAGCCCAACCAAGGACTATCAAAAGCCGTGCTATAAATTCTCGGACAACACAAAGATTCCTAGAGGCCCATCCAGACTCCCTCCACCTACTCAAGGACATCAGAGTACAAAAATCAGTTAACGACCTAACTGAGGATCTACATTTAACTGAGGATCTTAATGTAACCTTGTGTAATACCCTAGATGCAGTCGCACCCCTAAAAACAAAAAATATTTGTCACAAGAAACTAGCTCCCTGGTATACAGAAAATACCCGAGCCCTGAAGCAAGCCTCCAGAAAATTGGAACGGAAATGGAGCTCCACCAAACTGGAAGTATTCCTACTAGCTTAGAAAGAAAGTACAGAGCAATATCGAAGAGCCCTCACTGCTGCTCGATCATCCTATTTTTCCAACCTAATTGAGGAGAATAAAAGCAATCCAACATTTCTATTTGATTGTCACGTTCGTTGAGAGACAGGTCAGACCAAGGTGCAGCGTGATATGCGTACCTGTTTATTAAGACGAATAAACACTTGACAAAATAACAAAATAACGAAAACGTGAAGTCCTACGGGCTATACACACAACAAGCCTACCAGGAACACAAACAAGATCCCACAACTATGGTAGGCAACATGGCTGCCTAAGTATGATCCCCAATCAGAGACAACGATCGACAGCTGCCTCTGATTGGGAATCACACCCGGCCAAACATAGAAATATCAACCTAGATCTACAACATAGAAATACAATAACATAGATCTCAACAGAAACTCACACCCTGACCCAACCAACAAGAGTACTCTAGATCAGGGCGTGACAGTACCCCCCCCCCCCCCCCCCCCCCCCAAAGGTGCGTACTCCGGCCGCACCAACCTGACTCATTAGGGGAGGGTCCGGGTGGGCATTCAGCCTCGAAGGTGCGGCTCCGGGCGTGACGACCTCTCCCTCTCTGCCTCCCCGTTGCACCCCTGGTCTGGTCTGGACCTCGGCGTGATGCTTCCCCTCTCCTTCCTCCCACGATGCACCAAGCCCTGTCTGGACCCTGGTGTGGGAGACCCCGAACCTGGAGAGGGGCTGACGTCTGGGCCTTGATCGGCAATCCTCCCGCGATGCACCAAGCCCTGTCTGGACCCTGGTGTGGGAGGCCCTGACCCTGGAGAGGGGCTGACTTCTGGGTCTGGAGTGGAGCCGCTGACCGGAGCTGAACTGGACCCCGGTGGAGCGGACTGCTCTGGCTCTGGAGTGGAGCAGCTGACCGGAGCTGGACTGGGAACACGCACCACTGGTCTGGTGCGAGGAGCAGACACGGGTCGTGCCGGACGAGGAGCAGGCACGGGCCGTGCCGGACTGGATACACGCACCACTGGTTTGGTGCGGGGAGCAGGTACGGGCCGTACCGGACTGGATAAGCGCACCCCTGGTTTGCTGCGGGGAGCAGGTACGGGGCGTACCAGGCTGGTGACATGCACCACTGGTTTGGTGTGGGGAGCAGGTACGGGCCGTACTGGACTGGATACGCGCACCACTGGTTTGTTGCGGGGAGCAGGTACGTGGCGTACCGGGCTGGCGACACGCACCACTGGTTTGGTGCAGGGAGCAGGTATGGGCCATACTGGACTGGATACACACACCACTGGTTTGGTGCGGGGAGCAGGTACAGGCTGTACCGGACTGGATACGCGCACCACTGGTTTGGTACAGGGAGCAGGTACGGGCCGTACTGGACTGGATACGCGCACCACTAGTTTGGTGCGAGGAGCAGGCACGGACCTTGCCGGACTGGATACACGCACCACTGGTTTGGTGCGGGGAGCAGATACGGGGCGTACCGGGCTGGCAACACGCACCACTGGTTTGGTGCGAGGAGCTGGCACAGGCCGTACCGGGCTGGCAACACGCACCACTGGTTTGGTGCGAGGAGCTGGCACAGGCCGTACCGGGCTGTGGAGGCGCACTGGAGGTCTGGAGCGTAGAGCTGGCACAACCTGTCCTGGCTGGATGCCCACTTTCGCACGACACGTGCGGGGCGCTGGCACAGGACGCACTGGGCTGTGAATGCGCTCTGGCGACACAGTGCATATCTCCGCATACCTTGGTTCTTCAATGAACACACGCTCCCTTTGTTGCCTGACCAGCTCCTCTCTCCGTGCCTCCACTACTTCCTTCTCCCTACGGGCCTCCTGCAGCGCCTCCTCTTTAAGGGAGCTCTCCTGCTCTATTCTCCTTATCAGCCCCCGTAATGTGGTGGCCTCCTCTCTTAGACTGCAGATCCGCAGGTCTTGGAGGACCTCTAAAATAGTGGCCTCCTCCTCTACAGTCAGCCCTTTCACAACCTCCTGCTGCCTCGTCATCCATCACGTGCCCCCCCCAAAAATGTTTTATTGGGGCTGCTTCTCAGGCTTTCTTCGTGACCGAGTCCTTTTAAGTCGCCGTTTCTCCTCCCTCGCTGCTTCTGTCTGCTCCCAAGGAAGGCGATCCATCCCAGCCTGGATCTCTTCCCATGTCCATGATCCCTTACCATTTAATATCTCCTCCCAAGTCCATGATTTCTGCTCCTCCAGGGTACGCTGCTTGGTCCTTGTTTGGTGGGATCTTCTGTCACGTTCGTTGAGAGACGGGTCAGACCAAGGTGCAGCGTGATATGCGTACATGTTTATTAAGACAAATAAACACTTGACAAAATAACAAAACAACGAAAATGTGTAGTCCTATGGGCTATACACACAACAAGCCTACCAGGAACACAAACAAGATCCCACAACTAAGGTAGGCAACCAGGCTACCTAAGTATGATCCCCAATCAGAGACAACGAGCGACAGCTGCCTCTGATTGGGAATCACACCCGGCCAAACATAGAAATTTCAACCTAGATCTACAACATAGAAATACAATAACATAGATCTCAACAGAAACTCACACTCTGACCCAACCAACAAGAGTTCTCTAGATCAGGGCGTGACATTGATACTGTCGCAAAGCTAACTAAAAAGCAGCATTCCCCAAGAGAGGATGCCTTTCATTTCGGCAGTGATGAATTCATGAAGTTCTTCTTCGACGAAAATATCATGATCATTAGAAAGCAAATTATGGACTCCTCTTTGAATCTCTCTTGAAAAAGCCAAACCTTGACCCAGAAAATGTAAAAAACGATCACCCATTCCTCTCAAAATGTATAGAAAAAGCTGTTGTGCAGCAACTCACTTCCTGAAGACAAAAAATGAATACGAAACGCTTCAGTCTGGTTTTAGACCCCATCATAGCACCGAGTCCGCACTTGTGAAGGTGGTAAATTACCTTTTAATGGTGTCAGACCAAGGCTCTGCATCTGTCCTCATGCTCCTAGACTTTAGTGCTACTATTGACACCATCGATCACCACATTCTTTTGGAGAGATTGGAAACCTTAATTGGTCTACACGGACCAGTTCTTGCCTGGTTTAGATCTTATCTGTCAGAAAGATATACATTTGTCTCTGTGGATGGTTTGTCCTCTGACAAATCAATTCTAAGTTTTGGTGTTTATCAAGGTTCCGTTTTAGGACCACTATTGTTTTCACTATATATTTTACCTCTTGGTGATGTCATTCGGAAACACAATGTTAACTTTCATTGCTATGCAGACAACACACAGCTCTACATTTCAATGAAACATGGTGAAGGCCCGAAATTGCCTACCCTGGAAGCATGTGTTTCAGACATAAGGAAGTGGATGGCGGCAAATGTTTTACTTTTAAACTCTGACAAAACAGAGATGCTAGTTCTAGGTCCCAAGAAACAAAGAGATCTTCTGTTGGATCTGACAATTAATCTTGATGGTTGTACAGTCGTCTAAAAAAAAACTGTGAAGGACCTCAGCGTTACTCTGGACCCTGATCTCTCTTTTGACGAACATATCAAGAATATTTCAAGGACAGCTTTTTTCCATCTTCGTAACATTGTAACATTGTGTGAATTTAAGTATGCTCTCTCCAATTCTCTCACTCTCCCTCTCTCCCTCCCATCCCGGAGGACCTGAGCCATAGGCCCATGCCTCAGGACTACCTGGCCTGATGACTCCTGGCTGTCCCCAGTCCACCTGGTCATGCTGCTGCTCCAGTTTCCCCTCTTCTGCCTGTGGCTATGGAACCCTGACCTGTTCACCGGACGTGCTACCTTGTCCCAGACCTGCTGTTTTCAACTCTCTCTCTCTACCGCACCTGCTATTTCAACCTCTAAATGCCCGGCTATGAAAAGCCAAGTGACGTTTACTCCTGATGTGCTTGTCACGCCCTGGCTCTGGGGACGCTCGTATTTTGAGCCAGGGTGTGAGTGTTCTTTGTTTATTCTAGTTCATGTATATCTATGTTGGCCAGAGTGGTTCTCAATCAGAGGCAACGAGTGTCAGCTGTTGCTGGTTGTCTCTGATTGGGAACCATATTTAGACAGGCGGTTTTCCCACAGTGTTTGTGGGATCTTGTTCCTGTGTAGGTTTGTGTTTTGCACCTTTGGACGTCACGTATCGATTTGTTGTTTTGTTCGTGTAATCATTTAATAAATAAGTATGTTCACCTTCCACGCTGCGCCTTGGTCCTCTGTATCCGACGATCATGACAGTGCTGACCTGTTGCAACCTCTACAACCACTGTGATTATTATTTGACCCTGCTGGTCATCTATGAACGTTTGAACATCTTGGAGAAAAATCTGGCCTTAATGGCCATGTACTTTTATAATCTACACCCGGCACAGCCAGAAGGGGACTGGCCACCCCACAGAGCCTGGTTCCTCTCTAGGTTTCTTCCTAGGTTTCTGCCTTTCTAGGGAGTTTTTCCTAGCCACCGTGGGTTTTAGGCTGGGTTTCTGTATAGCACTTTGTGACATCTGCTGATGTAAAAAGGGCTTTATAAATATAATTTGATTGATTGATTGATCTTTTATTTCAGCTCATGAAAAATAGGACCAACACTTTACAGGTTGCGTTTATATTTTTGTTCAGTGTAATTTACAACCGTCAAGGAGATGCATAGGCTGTAGTCGATCTTTAAGCCTCGTTGCCAACTTTATAGCTGTTTATGCTATGGTCAAAATCAATGCCATACCCTTTTTATTCAATCAAAACTTTTGACATTTTGGTAGGTTATAGTATTCGTAATGTGAGCCAAACAGGGGATAGACAGGGTTTTTGTTTGGAAAAGGTTCTGAGGCATGGGATTTGATTTGGTGTGTTAAATCTTTCGATAAAGAACATACACACACCCCTGTGACCAATGATATTCTCATGCTGAACACAACAGTAGGTTTTGGGTCACACATGGATGGTAGAATTAGGTTTTATGGTGAGGAATGTTGCGTAAGATGTGTAGGCCTATTTAGACCAGAGGATAATGTAAGTATGATAAGCTTATGTTAAGCATTATACAGCACTTATCTCCAATGTATTTAAATACAATGTAAATACATATTTAAATACAAAATAATAATCACAAAAGCAGGTTGTAAACGCAGCTTAAGAGGATGAAGCTCCTAGTAGGCCCAGCCAGCCCTTTAGGCCTCAGTCCCACGCCTCCAGAGCAGGCCCTCTCTCCATCTGTGGTCACCACAGACAGAGTGTGTCCAAGTCAGGCCCCAGCTCTGCTCTGCTCCCCTGGGGTTAGTAGTGGGTGTGGTGGTGGGGGAGCCAGCTGTCACTGTGGTCTCTCTCTCTCTCTCTCTCTCTCTCTCTCTCTCTCTCTCTCTCTCTCTCTCTCTCTCTCTCTCTCTCTCTCTCTCTCTGCAGTTTTAAGAAAGAATACCAATGGGCAATGCAAATAGTCTGGTTATCCATTTGATTAGATGTTCAGGAGTCTTATGGCTTTGGGGTAAAAGCTGTTTAGAAGCCTTTTGGACCTAGACTTGGCGCTCCGGTACCGCTTGCCGTGCGGTAGCAGAGAGAACAGTCTATGACTAGGATGGCTGGAGTCTTTGAAAATGTTTAGGGCCTTCCTCTGACATCGCCTGGTATAGAGGTCCTGGATGGCAGGAAGCTTGGCTCCAGTGATGTACTGGGCCGTACGCACTACCTCTGTAGTGCCTTGTGGTCGGAGGCCGAGCAGTTGCCATAACAGGCAGTGATGCAACCAGTCTCTCTCTCTGTCTCTGTCTCTGTCTCTGTCTCTGTCTCTGTCTCTGTCTCTGTCTCTGTCTCTCTCTCTCTCTCTCTCTCTCTCTGTCTCTGTCTCTGTGTGTGTCACATTCCCACTCTTTTGCTTCCACAGATTCTCTGTCTTGTCACTCTGTACAAAATAAGTTACAAACAATGCGAAAAACACACAATTTAGCATGGTTGGTGGTTAAGAGTCCATAAAACGACAGCCATCCCCTCCAAGACCCTCCGGCGCCATCTAGGTTTAAATTTCATTTAGCAGATGGCTAAATGCATTGTCAGTGGTTGATACTCTAGCTACTGACACATTTATGTCAGTGTTGATTGTGTGCACTCTCTCTCTCTCTCTCTCTCTCTGTGTCTCTGTCTCTCTCTCTCTCTCTCTCTCTCTCTCTCTCTCTCTGTCTCTCTCTCTCTGTGTCTCTGTGTGTGTGTCACATTCCCACTCTTTTGCTTCCACAGATTCTCTGTCTTGTCATTCTAATGAATATAAACACATTGTCTTGTATTTTTCTTTCTTCCAGAGACACCTCTCCCAAGAGGACTTCCACCATGTGTTTGGGATGACCCTGGATCAGTTTGACCGCATGGCCCTGTGGAAGAAGAATGACATGAAAAAGAAGGCACGCCTTTTCTAAAGCCAAGTGACTGTAACAGGGAGAGGGAGAGAAAATAACATCTCTAGTCTACAACATCTGTCCAGTCTGGAAGAAAGGAAGTCAGAAAAAACCCATCAGAAATAATATATATATGCACCGCCATACTACGTTACACCTGCGAAACATCTAATCTCTGCCAGAATAAGGAAGGGGGAGACATTTTCACAATGTCGCTGTGACCGACATCCAACGTTGAGGCAATGTTCGTCACATATAGCTTCTGTATGCGTTGTGGTCTGAATGTTACTTTGATAACCTTTGGGGAGGTGGGGGAGATGCATTTGCATGGCCTGTGACACCACTCCTCCTCTTCTCCTCTCCCCGCCTCTATGTGAGTTCTGCATCCCCCTCTCCATTCCTCTGCAAAAAGAGAAATAGCAGCTTTTCTAAAATCCTTGTGCAGGCTTTTTTCTCTTTGTCTCTGTTTCTTACTGGTTTAACGTGTGCCCCTTTCACTGTCTTTATCTCGACTTGGAACAATATCTCTTGCTGTTTTTATCTGTTTAGTTTTCCCCTCTTTTATCGCTACTGCTATCTGTTTTTCTTACCCTCTCTAAGGTCTCTCTTTCTCAATTGATCTTTCCTTATCTACCGTGTCTCATTTAAGGTCTCTCTCTCTCTCTCATTCTCTCTCCCTCTCCCTCTCTCTCTCTCTTTCTCTTACTCCTCTTCTCCATCTTTCTCCATCTCCTTTTTCTTTCTTTCTTTCTTTCTTTCTTTCTTTCTTTCTTTCTTTCTTTCTTTCTTTCTTTCTTTCTTTCTTTCTTTCTTTCTTTCTTTCTTTCTTTCTTTCTTTCTTTCTTTCTTTCTTTCTTTCTTTCTTTCTTTCTTTCTCTATCCTCCCTTTCCCCGCTGTAGCCTGTGCTAGCCTCTAACTCACCACAGCTTATAGTCTCATATCTGAACAACAGATGTATCATTCTACAGCAGTGGAGGTTAAGATAGGAAAAGTTGTCTTCTCCTTTTTTAAGTGGGTAGTTTGTTTGATAGCCACGCCATAATTTGTTGATAGAGGGCCGTATCTTACACAAGCCACTCGTAAATCAGTGAAGATAGGAGAGTTGGGGTTAGATCAGAGCCAGCAGCATGAATCATGGGTAAAAACCGTGCCATAGGCACCACTGATACCCATAGCAGATGTATAGAGCCTCGGGTTCTTTCAAGTCATGTTGTCAAACACTGCCTTGCCAGACACTTTACGTAAATCCCCTCCTATCAAAAACCTACATAATTTTTATAAGCAAGTTTTGACTCCTGGAAGGCTGTCATCCATTTTGTGGAAGTTTTCAGATATGAGAATCATGAGCTGTGTTCGAATACTCATACTAACCACACTAACCAATATATTTGTGATGTAAATTGAGTATGCTTATTGGTCATAGTATTTTCATAGTATGGATATAGTTAGTATGCCAAAAGAAAATGGGCGTGGCTTTACAACGTTTTCAGATTCTAAGAAAATGGTCGGAAAATATGCAGCCGAAGTCCAACGAGAGCGGATACAAATTCATTGCTTTAACTAATTATGACAAATGTTAAGAAAATGTTGAGCAATGTAATAAAGTAATTACTGTTCAAATAAGTTACGTTACACATTATGTTGGCTGACAATTTGTTAGCTACGCTATCCTTACGAACCGCATAGCATATCATTACAGCAGTAAGTACCGGTATGTTAGCTAGCTACCTAACGTTAGTTGGCTACTAATACATCAAACTTGCCAGGCAGTATATTAACTATATGAGATCTAACTAACTACCCAATGTTTATTGACTTGATTATTCACATCATTCTTAGCTAAGTGGTATAGTCATTGTGCATTCTCAATGGACATTGTTAATTCTGGCTATCTACTCCGATTTCAAAGCACTTTCGTCTGAGTGTGCCAGAGCACAGAATAACTGATGAATTTACACCTGTTGAATATGGCCAGTGTCAATAAACGTTGGCAAAAAAAGCGTTATTAAATTGTTGCCAGCAGCACAGTTACAGTCACCAACGCTCTAGATAACATGAAAACAGCCTAACCAGCTCTGCTAGGGCGAGTAAAATGGTCAGAGAGAGGTGTTCTCTCATTTGTGTCTGGAAGTAGCTAGCAAACTAGCCAACGTTAGCCAGTTAGCTTGGGTACTTGACTGCCGTTGTGAGGTCAGAACGCTCGGATCAACCCTACTCCTCTGCCAGAGCATCCAGTGTGTGCTCTCTGAACGCTCCGAATTTACGAACGGACAATCTGACAACGCTCTGGATTTACGAATGCCCAGAGCGCACTCTGAGCGCACTCTGGCACTCCAGATTGAATTTACGAACACACCCAAAATCGTAAAATGTCTAGCTAGTCATTTGTTATGCTAACAAGTTAGCAAGAGGTTGCATAGCAACAGCATCAACTTCCGGTAGACAGGCGAAGCGCTAGTACACTCAACTGAAAGGACACCGTTCGTTTAGAGTATACTAAAATGAAATAATAGTATATAGTATGTAGTATATACTCATTAAGTATGTAGTATACAGTACGTTAGAATGGGTATTCGAACACAGCTATGGTGTTATGACACTTTTATTATCTGCATTGTCATCACACTATCTAACACAGACCTGCAGCAGCACTTGAGCATAACTAGTTAATAAGTCTTGCTTAATGAATTAATAATGACATATTATTGTGCTATCTATCTGTACCTTTTGTGATAGATAATTAACCCTTTCTATGTTTGTTGTTTGTAAATCATTTGGCATCAACTGCCACATATGTGGTGGAAAAACACACATTGGCTTTGCTTAGTCTCCAGAAACTCAAACAATAATTCAACCATAAGCGGCATACAATATACATGTGACATACAGCGTACATATATTTGTCTCAGAGTTTGTTATGCAAGCCAAGGTATATATTGCTCCTAGGGCATGCATGCGTATGAGAGGTTATTGAGGTCATCTACAATGGAAATGTATGAACATGTTTGTAAAAACATTCTCTCTGTGTGCTTGGTTTCTCAATTTTGATCATTTTGGTCCCTCATTTTGGTTAATTATTTTACACACATTTTGTAACACAACTTTTGTCCAATGAAAAGCCCAATTCAGCTGCTTTTATTTGATATTTATGTATAGACATTTTAAAGGGAGGATGAGGATGGTGTCTTTAAATGTAATGGCTATAGGACAGGTGTATTGGAAAATATATGCTCAATACAAATGAAAAATACAGTCAATCTGAATTCATATCAAATTTCATTTGATCTGAATAAATATCAAATGTTTGCTCTGTCTGTAAGTAACACATTAACTGTTGTCATAAAAGCTCATGTCTCCTATCTGATTTCTAATGTCAATCTACAATTAAAGGGCTTTATCCAAATCAAATCAAATGTATTTATAAAGCCCTTTTTACATCAGCAGATGAAACAAAGTGCTTATACAGAAACAATGTAGTCGACAACGTATTAAAGTGCTTGAGTGTGCCTCGTGGAATGTGAATGCCGATAATGTTGCAAAATGCATTGTCAAATCTAATGTCTGCTTATATTGAATGATAATTTATACAGTTGAGTTTGGATAGTGATGTGTATGAATGTGTGTAGGTTATGTCAAATGACCTTTTTGGTTGTGCATCACCTGTTACAACATAATTGTAACATTGAAAGAAGGTTAATGTAACGTTATCAGTGGTGAGGAGGGATTTCCCAGAACAGAGATCACCATGGAGGGCTGTTGGGAAAGACTGTGTTTGTTTTTGTGTTTGAACAGCTGTGGAAACAGTAGTCAGCTGAGAGGCAGAAACTAAAGAACACATATCCAGGTCTGAGCTCTGAACTTACCCTTAGGCACACACAGATCTAGGCTCAGATTCCATTCTCTTAATCCTAACCTTAACCATTAGGGAGGAAATGCAAAAGGTATCTTAGTTCAGTCAGGGTTCCAAAAGGGTTCTTCGGCTGTCCCCATAGGAGAACCGTTTTTGGTTCCAGGTAGAACCCTTTTCGGTTCCAGGTAGAACTCATTTGGGTTCCATGTACTCAACTGGAACCAAAAAGGGTTCTTCAAAGGGTTCTCCTATGGGGACAGCCGAAGAACCCTTTTAGGTCCTAGATAGCACCTTTCTTTCTAAGAGTGTAGGGCCAAGTTCATTCTGTTTTGCTAGTGGGTCAGGCCAGATCAGCAGAGCTCAGATAGCCCAGCTAGTTCACACCAGGCCAGATTGCACAACCAGACCCCTTTCATCATCTCTTTAGACAAACAGGCCTCCCACTCAGAGGAATCAGCAGCGTGTCTCCCTTACATCAAGGTCAATACAGTGTTGGATTCACAACTTTATTTACGCTTTTGATGGTAAAGGATATCAGAAGGAGCTGCAATTTATTTGCTTCCGATTTATTTTGAATATAGAGACATTATAAACACATATCATATCGTCAATGTGTGACTTCTGTTTTTGCTTGTTTGATTGTAATGGAAGCCAGGTATTTATGAATATCCTATGTATACAGGTATATGTCCATTGCGCCACTATAGTAACAATTGTTGTTATAGAATGTCCCATGAAAACAAGTCTGCCTCATTGCATTGACCCTAATGTTATGGATCTGACTAGTCTTTATCAAATATGTTGTTCTTTTAACTTAATGGCTAGACTTAACGCAAAGCCATCTCTCTGTAGCACACAATTAGAATTATGCTGACATTGCCGTTTATGCAATATGATGATGTTCAAATGAATTTGGTTCTGTCATAATCTATTATTTTGCACTGTGTAACCAACTGATACCATATGCTGTGATTTGATGTAGTTGAGGCTCTGTGGAGGATGATGAGTGGATGAAAATATGGGTTCATATTATTATAATGCTGTAACTAAGCCTTTTCTTTAGCTTTTGTTCTTATTTGGCTTCGCTGGTTTGCAAGAAATACTGATGTCCATCTTTAAATAAATGTTTCATTCAGTACCGTTTCTTTTGATGTGTGCTGTGTTTTTATG